GGACTAACCCAGCTGTTGGGTTAAATTTTTACATTACATTTTTAACCCAAAAGTTGGGTTAGTCCATATTTGACCCAAAGTTGGGTTGAAACAACCCAACATTTTTTAGAGTGTAAGATTTCAGAAAACTTGTATTTCAAAAATGTTTGCAATTCTTAATGTAATCAATCGACTACGGAAATATGGTGATATATAGCCTATTATTATTATTTATTTTTTTACCAGCATTCACTTGGGGTGTCTCGCCTTAAAAAGTGACAATGACAATATCACACATGTGAGATTATTCTTGGAGGTGTTTAGACATCATAAAAGCTGGATGAATTGTGTATTTTAAAAATTGTTTATTTTTAAATTTATTGAAAAAATTTATTGAAACACACAAAAATGATACGAAGGATACTCTACCTTATTGGCAGAGGCTATTTACACTTGCTCCACCCACAAACGTGTGATAGGGATGGTCGACACTATAAAAGACTGCAGACAATTGTCAGCTTCAGTAGTGTAGATAGTAAAGCGCGTTCCGTAGTCTTTTTGACGCGATCGACCCGAGTTCGAATTCGCCTTTTACCAAACTTTTTTTTCACCCTTTTCAAATATCATATCTCATCGGAAAGGCATTTATTTTCAATAAAAATGAAGGAAATAATCATAAAGTTGAAAATAAAGTATCAGGTAGGGTTAGGATAGGTGTAGGTAGGGCTTTATATAAAAAAATAATTATATAATTTGAATAAAAATTATAATTTACACTCAATACGTTATTACTGCATACTGTTTTATAATGTACTATAATACTGAGGTGCAGATAATTGCCACTATTTGAAATAAGTAGTATAAATAGCAGCATTCGTGTAAATAGAATCTATCGCTATCTGCACTTAGTGTAAATAGCGTATTGTTAAAATACTGCTATTTTCACTTAGTGTAAATAGAATCCATTGCTATATGCAATTAGTGTAAATAGCATCCATCACTATTTGCACTTAATGTAAATAGCCTCTATCGCACGGTTAAAATTCACCAGCAGATAGCGCCACACACACAAAAGATGGATAACAATATAAGAAAACAATATAAGCTATATAAACTATTTCATGCAGACAGTTTTATTGCTTTTTACAATGTGCAATTAAAATGAATCAAAATAAAATGTAATTTAATATTAAAAATAAAATAATTAAAATTACAACTAACAAAACTATATTTACTGTAAAAGTTATGTAGGCCTAATTTGGATTTAAAGCATGAGACGAAACATTAAAGAATATTTCAACTATTTATAAAGTGTTGCTTGGTCATGAATTCTGGAATATACCTGTAATATGCAGATGTACTTCAGAAATGTACTTCATAACTATATACTGTAAGGCTTGAATTATTCATTTTGTTTTCACAGTATTGCCAACCAGCTTATATTTTAAAAATACTGACAAACTTACATGTTTTAGGTGCATACGTTAAGCACCGAAACGTCACACTGTTTAAAACTGAAACTGTAAAGTAGATTTACTATTAATGAACAGTTATTGACTTTCACTTTCTCATAACTTCCTTTAGAAGGAGCAGAAGTAACACCTCTTGTTATGAACTCACAGTCTTGGGTGTTTTCTTCACAGAGCTGTAGATCACTTCAGCTTCTGAGTTCACTGATGAAGAAGGCTGTGAATGAACAAGATCAGCACTGAGAATCTAATTTCTGCATCACAACCCTTAGTGTGTCATTTTAGTGTAACACCTTACATGACAGAAATGCAAAAATAGTGATCATTCACAGCCACATTCCAGCCAAAACTGCTGTGACACACAACACTTTTACAAAAACTCTCAATGGAGAACATTCAGAGGAGACACTTACTGCTTTACAAAAGGTGACCACAGAACTGTAAATCACTGAACTATCATCCACGGAGGCAGAAGACTGTGAATAAACACAACGGACGATCGTTCATTTGCAATCAGCATCACAGTAAATGTCTACATAGTTGCACACCATATGGACTGATGACTTACAGTAGCATCTGCTGGACTGTTGGATGTCATCTGGTTTTCACAGGGCATCTGCATCAAACACAAACACAGATTTGGATGGTACTGGTAGCTAATGAGTTTTGGATGAATGTGTTCTTTTCCAAAGACTTCTGATTTGCGTCAATATGTTAATTCTAAAATACTTACTGTATTTCTGGTGCTGTTAAAATGTTCTTCTCTAATTTGACTTCTCTCTGTCAGAGTGAGAAATGAAGATTAAATCTCATACTATTTTACATGTACACTCTTTAGAACCTTCAAAATTCCACAAAAGGTTCTTTATAGTGAAAAAAAGTTCTTTAGATTTTCAAAATGTTCTTTACACTATAAGAAAAAAATGGCATTGCTGCGAAAAGCCCCTTTTGGAAACTTTATTTTCAGAACTGTACAATTAAACATGACGGGGGTTTATGAATGGCCAAATGTGTTTGTATCACGAAGCTAAACTTTATATCTGACCGATTTTGTCCCTGAAAACCTGATTTCCTACATAATTGTGCTAGTTTGATGCCTCTCGAGTCACCTTATGGTCTCTTTCTTCTCACATACTGTAATTAAACTCAAATCTATATGTTGTTTATATGTCCATTTATTGATTTATTTGTTAAGTAGCCATAAATGAAGCACTATAATGCATTTTCAGTCATCAAGGAGTATGAGAAAACTCACCTGGTTTCTTTCTCAGTCTCCAGGTTACTATGGCAACATGAATAACAAGCAGTAACAGCACAAGCATCGCTGGAAGAAACATGACCAGAATCACATCATGCCTGTAAGTGATGGAGAGACATTTCTATTTATCACACAGAACTATTCTCACTTTTAATTCAAAGCAAGTTAATCTTGTAAAGCTTTGTTTGTAATTTAGAGATATAGTTTCAAGCAAATGCAGACTGAAATGCCTTAAATACTTGTTTTGCTCATCCGTGCTGTGTATTTCAATATTATCAGTCTCTGAGGCTGCTGTTAGAGATGGATGGGTTTCAGCTCTGCAATTAAAATAACATTACTATGGTGACATGAAACAGTTTGGTAATACAGTTATTAGGAATGACTGAATAATGTTCACACTGTTCACACACGTCTGTCACAGGTCTTGAATCACTCGTCATAGCTGCCAGCCAAAAACAGAAATGGAGAAACAAGTTTCTTAGTTAGAACAAAATGTTATTATTAATGAAAGAAGCTGTTTGTTATGCAAGCCCATTTACAAGAGAAAACATCCTTTTGTGATCAAATTTTGTATGTAATAGTTATGACTCAAAATTTGAACTCTGTCATAATGTAAATTTCTTATGTCATAATTTTGACTTTTATCTAAATATTTCAAATAATTCCTTTTAGCTGTTCCTTACTGTTTATTATTTTATTCATACTTGTGGGATTCATGTTGGTTGATGGCTGTGTCGTGTGCCTGCAAAACAAAAAGTAAAAAATAACAATAAAAATAAAAATAAACAAATACTACTACTACTACTAATATAATATAATATAATATAATATAATATATGTTTGGAACTACATAATGGAGCTAAATTATTTTAGCTTAAAAACAAATTCAGTCATTCACTCATATATAGACATTAATACTGTTTGTTGCAGCCAGATTATTTGAATGGCGATCACATCAATTTTAAAAGGCCTTAAATTGAAGTTTTTCAACAATCTATCACTATACAGATTCACAGCATATAAAATGAAAGTTTTGGCCTTTTTACAACCCTTGGCTGTCTAGGGGTCACGTGAAAATATTGTGGCTAGAAAAATATTTGGATGTGATTGATTTTTTGAAATGGTCAAGAATGTTTACACGTACATGTCTGTCTCAGAGTGAGATGGTGTAGCTACAGGAGCAGTTGTAAATGCTTGAAAGAATGAAAGAAATTAGGTTAGTTTTAGTGCATTGAGAGTGGCATCATTTTTATGGCTGAATTGGTTTGTGATCTTACCTCTTTTGGCTTCAGTGACTGTGAGTTGTACAGGAATCTGCCGATCTCCTACAGAGCAGAAGTACCAGCCAGAATCAGTCAGTCTCAGTCCAGTCATCAGCACAGTGAAGGATCTTCTCCCATCATCACTGATCTGGACTGATGAATTCTGGGATGTGTTAGTCCTCCCCACTGTGTAACAGCTCTGATCTTCATATCTGCACCACTGTTTGAGTTTATCCTGATATCTAGGACTGTAGAGACACTGAACACTGATATCACCACCTTCATGTCCAGATACACTGCTGCTCCGCAGCGCCACAGACACATCAGGAGCTGAAAACCATCAAAAGACTATAAGATTTTTTAGTAAATTTGCTTATTATTGTTAATGAAATGCAAATATGTAAGTTTTCTTGTTATTGTAAAGTGTTAACTATTCAAAAACAGTTCTGTTTTAAAACAATTCTGGAATCGAACAATATGACTAAAAATGTACATTCTTATGCTGATGTTTGCAGCCTACTAAATGATTCTAGCGGCTAAAGTCTAAATAGCATGATACTCTTACTATTTCCTTTTGCCAGTATGCAATCCTGACTTCAAACAGCATCTCCTACACTGCTACTGCAAAACCACTACTTTATTCTTCAATCAATGATCAGATTAATCCAAACCATAACAAACTGAGGCGGTGCATTACAGTTTTTGTATTACAGTTTTTCTCAGTCCCTTCAGTACATTTCTCGATTCATCCTTAAAGGGGTCATATGATGTTGCTAAAAAGAACATTATTTGGTGTATTTGGTGTAATGAAATGTGTTTATGCGGTTTAAAGTTAAAAAAACACATTATTTTCCACATACTGTACATTATTGTTTCTCCTCTATGCCCCGCCTTTTTGAAACGCGTCGATTTTTACAAAGCTCATCGGTCTGAAAAGCGAGGTGTGCTGTGATTGGCTATGACCCTTTTAACATTTGCAAACCAGTAAGTGCATTTCTCAAACAACTCTTACAAACTGCACCACACAATGGATTACCAGAAAAGCTTGCTCAAAATCTTTAGTTCATCTCTCAAAACCAAGTATTTCTGGTTGTAGTGATATAAACTCAAGTAGTCGTATGTATGTTTTATTTATTTATTATAATTATTATTAGTTTTCATTTATTACTGTAAGTATACTGGTGCTTACTTTAACATAAACTAAACTTGCACTGTATAATGTGCGCCGCTGCTTTTCATTAGTCACTGCCGTGTCATGTCAGTGACATTTCAGTTTTTCTTTATTTATGTGTACAATAATAAATATATATCACACATAACCCAACAACAACCTTTTACATTACTTATAATATTACTTATAGCTACATTATTATATTTCAGTAAAATGCATAAACATGTTTCTCAGAGAAAAGGCACAATTTGGAAAGATATTCTTACTTGATTGTACCGTCAGATACAAATAATAACCAGTGTCTCTTTTGCCACCGATCTCCACAGCACACCAGTAATATCCAGAGTCTGAGGTCTTCATATTCTTCCATTGCACTGTAAAAATACTCTGAGCTGGATAATCAGTGAGGGAATATTTTCCTGTCTCATTTGCATATGCCAATATACTGCAAGAGACCAAATGTGACCCCTTACACCAGTATTTACGGTTTTCTTTATGTTTTTTATCATACAGACATGGAATAATTCCAGGTGATCCAGATTTCACTCTGATATTCATTGTCTGAATTCCAGCACCATCTGTGGACAAGATTAAGTGTAGGGAAAAATGTAAACATCCATAAACTGCACATTATGGAAAAGTTGCAATAGTGAACAATTACTAGCTTAAAGAATTCAAGTTAAACAATTTTAACAATTGAAGTTAAAAAAAGATCATACAATAGTTTAATAATGCCATTTAGAGAGTATTATAATTGTTCACCTGTGATGTGAAGTAAAATCCCAGAGAGAATCAGAGGGTAAATCATGTCTATAGCAGAGAGCATGTGCATGAGAGGACCTGGTCACTTCTTGCAGTGTCTCTGCTTCTTCCTGTTTCAGAGGACGAGCAGAAATATCACCTCAAACCACATAAGCATTATCAAGTCAGCAAAGTAGCCACTTTGCAGTTAGATACCTCACACTTAATGGTTTTAGCCCCTTTCTTACTGAACCAACAAACACTGAACAAAATGTTACATTGTAGAAGCGTGAAAATGATCAACACACAAACTGTTGTGTGTAACTGTTAGCTTAACTTTTAGTTTTATCATGTGTTCAGTTTTTCCAGTTGAGGTAAGGGGTTCATGGGGGTTGGTATAAAATAATTTTGAACATGCAAGTACGATTAACTGATGATCATACAAAATCTAAACTGTCCATGTTTTTAAATATGTTACGCCTCAAAGGATTTCAAAACACAATTCATAGCAGAGAAATATGGAAACACTATATCAAAGTCTGAGATTAAAAACAACAACAATCCCAGTTTCTTTAATATATATTTTCCTGTAATCCTGTTTCCTGTAATGATCGTGCTGAACTTCTGAGCAAAGAATAAAAGAATCTGCACATCTGAACCACAAAACACACATCAGATCGTCAGATCAGTTCAATGAAAGTCCATGGAGGGAAAGGAGGAGTCAAATTATTATTATTTTTTACATAAACAACTGCAATACTTTTTATTTCATGAAATTGTATTGTTTGTAATAATACAAGAAACAGAGAAAAAAACATTGTACAAGTACACAAAAAACGATTTTGACAGTGACGTATTTAAACAGAGACTCTAAAACTATGTACTGCTAAAAGACAATCACATTTTCTCAGGAGAGGACTTTTGACAAAGTAGGGCTAGTTATGAACTATGCATTTACAATAATCTTTTACATTTTCAATTGTCTTGACCCTCACATCTGTTCATATAGGTTCATAAAAGGTAATTTAATATAAAATAGGTTCACACTCCATGAGCAAAAAAAGTAGAACAGGCTTAAAAACACACACACACACACACACACACACACACACACACACCACTGATTTTGTTTCTCTTGGTCAGAAGGTCTGTTCCTGTGTTCTTCTCACTGTTGCAGTCAGTGTGGATCCACAGTGCTGTATATTATGCTGTATATTGCTCCACCTGCTGGAGGCTTCTCTGCTTCACTCCCAGGAACATTATCAATAGTACTGTAGGTTATGTCCTTGTTGGGATCCTGTGGAGAAAGGGATCGTAATTAAACATGATCAAGTCTTCTACTTAATGTGTCATATTTTTGAATCATCAAAGTAGTTTAGCATGACCATACATCCTCTTTTTTTTTTTTTTGACCTGTCCTGGCCAGGATTTCTAAATTGCCTAAAATGTCTGGGTTTTGGCTTTGTTTTCCTATTGTTTGCATACTTGCTGAAGGTAATGACTCATAAGTAGTTTGACCAATAGCGTGCAGGCATTGTACTTAATCGACCAATCGTGGCATGCAAGAAGGGAGGATCTATAGAGAGCCATCAAAGCAAAGCAAATAAGAAAACAAAGCTAAAACCTGGACATTTTAGGCAATTTAGAAATCCTGGCTAGGACATGCCTGAGAAAAAGAGGATTTATGGTCACCGTAAAATAGTTATATTAATGTCTGGTCTACTTACATTTGGGTTTTCATCATTTATAGTGCTGTACATCACAGGATCTTCAGGTTTAGAGTAGATCTGCATTTCATACAAACACACACAAAACAATAAAAAACAGTAACCCCAAGAAACCAAAATTTATTATAAGAGAGTAGGCTACATGTCCTGGAAATATGTGAGTGGAGTAAAGATGCTAATAGTGTTGCATTCATGTCAGAAATATAATATGAAATAAGTTCATTAAATTCAATTTGTTGGTCATAACTTTGTATTTATATTTTTGACATGCTGCACAAATCAAAGGGTAATTTCCTATGTGGCGGGTCTGTGTAAAAACGAAAATCTGATTAGGAAAAATGCCTCTTATGAGCTGGTTCTTTTAATAAATCGTTCTTATGATCTCATTCTGAATCAGTCTGATGAATGAAGTGGATAGAATAAAAATATGACTCACTTACTGAACTACCTGTTCCTTGGGTAAACCAGCATAAAGATATAAAGCTATTAGAAAGAAGGCTGGACAAAACAACAAATGCGTTTTCTTTTCTCATATTTGACTCTCAAACAATTTCTAGATTGATTAGCATGAAAAAGTTTAGGATCCCCTGTGTTACCAAGAAGAGGGAGACAAAGAGTCTTATACTAAAAATTAACTGATATGGTACATTGCCTCAAAATACAGTCAATAGTTTTATCGATTCTCATTTGCTACATAAATATGAAAAAAAAAGTATTAGATCAAATTAGTGCATAATCATGTTTTTCTGTCTTCGATCGCGATCAGTGCTGAGGTGAATTGTTGTGTCAAGGAGAATGAAGTAAAATGTGCATTTTACCCCGTGCTCCTTTAGCCCCGTTGAACCCTATATTATCATTCGAACATTTTCATAACTTGCTTCTTATAAGGACTTACCATGTCAGTGGCTCTGCTGCTGGTTCTCCCTGTGATTTGGTGTTTATCTTGCTCTTCATTTAAAAAAAGGGGAAACAATAATATCTGACATTAACTGAATATAGATATATAGAATCTGTGCTGTCAAAATAAATGTCAGAATATCAGGGCATGAAATAGATATGTGCAGCTGAAACTAACTGGGTCTTCGTCTCCATCTCCAGGTGAAAACACTGATCAGAATCAATAACAGCAGAAGTGCTGCTAAAGCTGGAAGCCACACAGTCAGCAGTTCATTACTGTGGGAAATAAGGAAACATTTAAAAATCTTCAAAAGATAAACTTTTGAAGCTCCAAGAGCTCCAAAATAGAAACTTAATATAAAATTGTTTATTCATATAAACTCTAGGGCTTTTCACACTGCTTTAAACCCTGTTTTATCGTTGTTATCCCTTACGAAAAAGAAGTTTATTCAAGTGTGCTATTAGTAGCTAAACCCCGCTTTTAACCATGGGAGAAGTACATTTCACAGTTAGAAGCGTGCACCTTGACAGAAAACAAGTGAATTGGAGTTCAGATTTAATCGTACCTTTATAATCCATACAAGATAAACTTCATAGTACAGTCGACAATAATTATGCAGGACGCGCAATGCTAGAGCCGTTACGTAAACAGGTCGCGTGCTGCGTTCGTCCAATCAGTGACATTGACACCGCAAATATGCAAATTTGAACATTAACCCGGGTTTAGGAATCATGTAGACTACAGTGTAAAATGTCAGTTTATGAATATCCAGGATTACTTGTTAATCACGAGTAAATTATGAGCCGTGTGAAACGTGAAACAAGATAACCCAGGATTCAGTTCACTCAGCGTTTAGAATTACTCAGCATTAAATAGGCCTATTTCAAGTGTGAAAAGCCCTTCTGTTAATGTAGTATTTCAGCTTAAAGGTTTTAGAATTAGATTAAGCCTTAATTATTTTATTTTAAACAATACACATAGTAGGCTACTTTTGAGGTTTTACAGTGTCTTCTGTTTCATTATTAATATTCTTGAGAATTCCTGTTTCATTTCTGCAAAGACAAAAAAGAGGAGGAAAGGAAAAATAGCACCAGAGCAACGAGGAAATGACTGTTAGTCATGAAATATACAGAAACAGAAACAAACATTGAATAATTCCACAAAGATGATTATGAAAGAAAAGCCATTTACAGAACAGATTAAATACTTACACTTTGTCGCTGACAGTGCCTGTGGACAAAAGTAAAAAATAAACAAAGTAAGTTTAGTTGTGTTTTATTTCATATGTAGTAGCAAAACATTTATGAATTACTGAAAAATGTGTACCTTGTTCTGCTTCAGTGACTGTGAGTTGTACAGGAACCTGCCGATCTCCTACAGAACAGAAGTACCAGCCAGAATCAGTCAGTCTCAGTCCAGTCATCAGCACAGTGAAATGAAGAGAATTTGGCATTATGTGATTGAAGCAAATGCAAAATGTCTTACCAGATTGAATCTTGAGATAAGTCTCATTTATTATATTTTTCGGTGGTTGTTCTCCAGTCTCCACAACACAATAATAAAGTCCAGTGTGTTTGTTCGTCAGGTTTCTCATAGTCACAGTAAAGAGACTCTGATCAGGATAATCAATTACTGACAGATTCTTCTGTGTTGTGTTTGTGTATGTATTAGATTGATCAAATTCTGAGAACCAGTATTTCTTCTGCTGTGAGTATTTCTCATCATAATGACATGGAATGGTGACAGATCCTCCAGTCTTAACAGTTAATGTACAGTTTGACCAACCACTGTAGCATTCAACACCTAAACAAAGCACAGTCCAAAACAACAAATTACTTCTTAATTTGTTCTATCCTCACATACAACACATTAAAAACAACATGAACAGATGAGCATACAACCTGGCATTGCAAAATGCTATACAGAATCTATTAGAAATGAACACAGCAAAACATGTACTCTCACCTAAAATGAGCCAAAAGCCGATTGAAATGTAGAATGTATTTTTCTTTGCATATGCGGTCATTGTGTTTCTCTTCCTGTATCTTGAAGTTGTTCTGTTCTTGAGTGTTTTGACTTCCCTCTCACCCTCATATAACACTTTTCAACCAGATAAAAGCTTTCACCGGGGCGGGACCTTTTAAAAAGTGCTTATATGTACCATTTCTGTTAGCCTATGTACACTGTAGGTGCATTCTTTAGAAGGATATAGAGTACAAACAGGTAGGCTACCTTTTGAAAGGATGGCCTACCGTCCTAAGTGACAGCTTTTGTCCTTTTTTTCTGAGAGTGTGGTATATACAGCACCTTTAAGTTTGATTTAATAACACAGTTAAAGTGCATAATAATGGACAATCTCAGCAGAATAGATTCGAATAATCATGACAGAGAGAGAGAGAAAAAATCTCTAAACTTTTTATTAGGAATTAGAAAAATCTGCCATTTGGATGAAAAGAGTGACATTTGAAAAAAAAAAAAAACAGACATTAGTCATTTAGCACACACAGATACCTTAAGTCTAGTCTGTTGAATAAGCATAAAGCAAATGCAGAATATAAAGCTTATTATCAACACTTTTATAATAATTTGATCCTTCAGGTCGATGTGGAGAAAATTCATCTAGTTCTGTGACAAACAGAAACGCTCCACGTGCACTCTGAAAAACAAAATAAAAGTGCACACCATCAACAGACAAATATGAGAAACAAATATGTTTCTATGTCACACAAACACATCACATACATTTTGGATATGTGTAAAAACCATGGAAGAAGAAGGCTATGTTTCAGATTTAAAAGCGTGTTCAGCACCGTTTTTACACGAAATTATGAAACAGCGTATTGTATAAATAGTGGTTTCAGGGTTTTGAGAGGAAAAATGTCGAATGGTGACAGAAAGCACGTGAATTGGAGTGAAGAGATGGTTTTATTTGTACCTTTATAATCCACCGAAAAGACCATACAGGAAAAACTTGATAGCACACACAATGCTAGAGCCCTTACGTAAACAGGTCGTGTGCTGCGTTCGTCCAATCAGTGACACTGACACCGCAAATATGCAAATTAGAACATTAACCCGGGTTCTTCTTCTTCTTCTTCTTCTTCTGGTGTTTTATGGCGGTTTGGCAAACCAGCGAAAAAGGTGCATTACCGCCACCTACTGATCTGGAGTGTGGAGTGTGCATAAATTTGGAAGAAAGAAATACAGAAGGGGAAAAAAAAATAAAATTAAAAAAAATTAAATAAATTTTTTTTTTTTTTATTAATGAAAATTAATTAATAAAATTAAAAAATAAAATAAAATAAAAAAGGGACAAAAATTCCTAGATTCTATCTATTGTTCCTGTGTTTTTCAGGTATTTAAATATATTTTCTCGCACTCTTGATTGCCTCGACCCATTTCCCAACAATACTTTTAAAGAAATATTATCAACTCCCAGCCATCCTAATTCTTGAATTAATTGAAATCTCTCCCTTTCATATGCAGAACACTCAAAAATAATATGTTTCACTGTTTCTAATTCTCCACATTTGTCACACTTTCCCGATTCATGCTTACCTATTTTATAACTCCTTCGTCGAATCCGCCACCTCTGCTCACTCTAGGCCGTGACGCGGTTTCATTGTGAAAGCGAAACTACTTTGTTTGGTCTTCCAAAAGAGGATACGACTAGAAATCAGTGGTTAAGTTGTATTTACAACACTGTTCCAGAACACTTCAACCCAAATATTCAGATGTGTGCAGCACATTTTATGGAGGACTGTTTCCTGATCCTGGGAGAGTAGACTACAATGCCGGCTGTTCTGACTCAAAGACTGTAAGTACGTTTTTTATATTTAAAGAGTTTTTATATTTTATATATTTAAAGCGAGTTTTTTGGGCAGTGTAGAGTAGGGCTTGTTGTTTGTCATTTCTCCGATCACAAATGCACACATGGTTTTATGTTTACGCGGCACGTAATCTGTTTCATTCTTCTTCTTCTTGAGAATTACTTTTTAATTTCTGCAAAGACCAAAAAAAAAAAAAAGGAGAAAAGGAAGAATGTCACCAGAGCAACAAGGAAATGACTGTTAGTCATGAAATATACAGAAACAGATACAAATATAGAATAATTCCACAAAGATGATTATGAAAGAAAAGCCATTTACAGAACAGATTAAATACTTACACTTTGTCACTGACAGTGCCTGTGGACAAAAGTAAAAAATAAAGTTTAGTTGTGTTTTATTTCATATGTAGTAGCAAAATATTTATGAATTATTAAAAAAAAAAAGTACCTTGTTCTGCCTCAGTTACAGTGAGTTGAACAGGATTCAGCTCCTCTCCAGCAGAACAGAAGTACCAGCCAGAATCAGTCAGTCTCAGTCCAGTCATCAGCACAGTGAAGGATCTTCTCCCATCATCATCACTGATCTGGACTGATGAATTCTGGGATGTGTTAGTCCTCCCCACAGTGTAACAGCTCTGATCTTTATATCTGCACCACTGTTTGGGTTTATTCTGATATCCAGAACTGTAGAGACACTGAACACTGATATCACCACCTTCATGTCCAGATACACTGCTGCTCACCACAGACACATCTGGGTCTGAACACACACACACACACACACACACACACACAAACACAAACACAAACACCAGTCATTTGATTTGATAAAACACATATTTGACATTAGAATTGATTAAAATAACTACAACATCTTATACCAGATTGAACCTGGAGATAAAGACCATATGTGGCAGTTGGTTTTCCTTCAATCTTCATAGCACAATAATAGAGCCCATCATGTTTTGTGCTCTGCAGGTTGCTCATAGTCACAGTAAAGAAACTCTGATCAGGATGATCAATTACTGACAGATTCTGCTCTGTTGTGTTTGTGTATGTATTGGACATATCAATTTCTGAATGCCAGTATTTCTTCTGATGTTTGTATTTCCTGTCATAATAACATGGGATGGTGACAGATCCTCCAGTCTTAACAGTTAATATATTATATGACCCACTGCTGTAGCATATAACACCTAAACACACAACACACACACCGTTGTCATGGTCAGAGTGAACAATAAATCGTCTTCACAAAAACACATTAAAAGCGACATGAACAACTAAGCATAAAAAGTATCATTACAAACTGACAAACAGGATTGATTAAAAACAGAGTCTAACATTTAATACTCACCTAAAAAAAGCCCAAACCCGATTGAAATGTAGAATATTTCTGTTTTATCGTATGTGACCATTGTGTAAGTTTCTCTTCCCGTGTCTGAGCTGTTTTAACTGTGTTTGTAGTAACTCCCGCACTTCCCTTTTTTCCTCTCATATAGCACTTAAACGTATTGCGCCGCCTGCTAAAAGCTGAGGATAGACTCTAGATCAGGGGTTCACAGATCACATGTGAACAAGCTAATCAAGGTCTTCGGGATTACTAGAAAGTTACAGGCAGGTGAGATTGGAGCTACAGTAAACTCTGCAGGAAAGTGGACCCCAAGGGCCAGAGTTGAGAAACCCTGCTCCAGATTTCAAGCAAAGTTAGTAACTGATGCACTTCCACACTTCTTTCAGTTACATCACACTTTTATTTACATCTCTATTTCACTAGTAACGGGATCTGGGGGGCAAGTGTATTAAGTTTGATCAATCACAAATAAGCATATTTTGACACTTTATCAGCACATGCTCAGTAGAGCTCTTTCTCTCTTTGCTTGAGAAGATGATGTATGATCATTTCACTTTTTGAGAAACTTGTATCAGTTATACAATAAGTTGATTTTGAGATATAAAAATATATTTTACATATTCAACCATTTTCATCGGCTGTCAGAAGTTTACCTGTGATGTGAAGTAAAATCCCAGAGAGAATCAGAGGGTAAATCATGTCTATAGCAGAGTGCATGTGCATGAGAGGACCTGGTCACTTCTTGCAGTGTCTCTGCTTCTTCCTGTTTCAGAGGAAGAGCAGAAATATCACCTCAAACCACATAAGCATTAGCAAGTGAGCAAAGTAGCCACTTTTGCAGCCAGCAACCTCACACAACACAACAACAAATCAAAATTTTACTTATGGGTTCTAATTTGATTTGTGAATATAGTGGTATAATATGGATCAATAGGTTCTCTTCTTCAATTTGATACAACATTTACTCAAAATGTTTAAGAATGACATAATTATGGCTGAGCAGATGACTTTCTCCATTTACTGCGACTGATTGAACGAAATGTTACTATATCCGCCACTAATTTAAAACAACTGTGAAAGTGATTAAAGCACACAAACTGTGTTTAAATGTTAGTTTATTTTTTTTTATTATTGTTCAATACATTTCATAATTTGAGCTCTTTCACAACAAATTTTTTGTTGTTGTTTATTTTCTGTTTACATTTTTTATTAAAATGTTTCAAATAAAATGGGGTGGAGTTGAGGGAAGGGGTTCATGGGCGTTGGTATAAATGATTTAAAAAAAGGCTAAATTTGATTAACAAAAAAAATGCATGTTTAAAGTACAGAAGCCTAAGTCTAAGTACAGAAGCAGTGCTTAAACATTCAAGCAGAAACACTGACTTCTGCTCCACTTACAGTGCTGTTCACTGCCGATCAGCAGCAGACCACAGAGTGCAGGCCGAAACACATATATGAGCCGCCCACAAAGTGTGTGATATATATACAGTGTGAGCAGACCATCTTTGTTGACGGCCATTCAAAATGAGTGTGTATACTAAATCCGCAAGTAAAACTGCAAAATACTGCCAGGGCTGCGTGTGTATACTTATTAGAAAACAAGGGATAGGACAAAGATAGGAACCTGAAACCAAGACACATACAACTGCAAAATACTTTTATTTCATTTTAAATATGCTTGTTTGTATTAATGCAAACAACATAACACTGTACAAGTAAACTTACAGTGAAGAAATTAAGCAGAGATATAATACAAAAAACTACAAAAAAAAGTTGTGATGATAGTCCTCTGCTGCTGATTTTGTTTCTTTTGGTCAGAAGGTTCTGTTCCTGTGTTCTTCTCACTGTTGTAGTCAGTGTGGAGCCACAGTGCTGTATATTGCTCCACCTGCTGGAGGCTTCACCGCTTCACTCACAGGAACATCATCAATAGTACTGTAGTAGATTATGTCCTTGTTGGCATCCTGTAGAAAAAGGGATTGTATAATAAACATGATATATTCATGTCTGAAATTTCATCACATCAGTGCATGTATGGTCTACTTACATTTGGGTTTTCATCATTTATAGTGCTGTATATCGGAGGATCTTCAGGTTTAGAGTAGATCTGCATTTTATGCACAAACAATACAGAAAAAAATATCAAGAAATCAACATATGACTCATTTAATAAACTACAGGTCTCATGGCCAAACTAATGCATATGAGAAGTAAGGAGAAAAAACAACAAATGCATTTTCTTGTCTTATTTTGATCTAAAACGTTTTTTGATTGGTTTCGACGATGAAACCTCTCTAGGTGGATCTTAGCATTTGCTGAATGAGAATGAATTTGTTGTTCACACCAGATTTAAAATTCTTATTCATTTAAGAAAACTGCACACATTTGAGCACGTGTGCAAATGGTAATTTGGACTTACTACAATTTGTACAACAACTAAATGCACATTGCTTGCTTGATTCCCAATGCAGCATGATTTGTTCAGTTATCAAAATCAGTCAGACTTACATGTATATTTCATAAATATCTATGACGTGTATTATGTCTGCTTTTGACCAGTGCAGCTCACACGATGACAAATAAACTTTGGAGCACTGGCCAATTTACTGACACAATAACTAAGTTTTGAAGTATGAATTAAATGTTTTGGGTGAGTTACTACATTTGCAGACATAATGCAGACATGGCACAGAGTGCTGAAGTCTCATAAGACAGAGAAGAAAATTACACTTACAGTTTAGAGAACGATAGAGATGTTAGAGAAAGTTTCAAAATATAAACCAAAGCAACTGTCAAACAAACATTTTCAGATATAGATTCTCATAAACTAATGGACTTACCATGTCAGTGGTTCTGCAGCCCTTTATCTCTCTGATTTGCTGTTTGTCTTGCTCTTCATTTAAAAAAAAAAGAGAAACAATAATTTATGACTAACAGAATTGATATACTGTACATACAATCTGTGCTGATTAAATAAATTATTAAATGGCATGGAATTAAATGAATTTTCAAACGAATAAAAATGTAGGTTGAACTGACCGGGTCTCCGTCTCCATCTCCAGGTGAAGAGAATCAATACACTGATCAGAATCAATAACAGCAGAAGTACAGCTGAAACCAGAAGCCACACAGTCAGGAGTTCATTATGTCTGTGGAAAATACAGAAACATTCTAAAATCTTTTCATTCAAAGAGCTCCAAAGATATGGGACTAATTCGGCTGCATAAAAGGCACCAGAAAATGAGCCATATCTGAAATAAACTTTCACCAGAACTCTGTTAATGTATTTCAGCCTAATAGTTGTTGTTTTTTTCAATGTAGTACTTTTGTGGTCTGTCAATGATTTCAGTTGTATTATTATTATTCATGTGATGTCCTGTTTCACTTCTGCAAAGGCTAAAAAAAAAACTTTTAAAGAAAAATCACAAAGGCAGTTAGGAAATTATTGTTAGAGTAAAAGGCAAAAGAAATCGAGGAAATAGTGCATGACGACAAAACGCAGACAAATACAGAATAATTCTAGGAAGATGATTCTGAGAAACATCAATGAGAAATGTTTGAATACTAACGTGTCTTTGTCTTTGTCTGGTTCTGTCTTGATTACAGTAAAATGAACAGGATCCAGTGCCTCTCCAGCTGAACAGTAGTACCAGCCAGAATCAGTCAGTCTCAGTCCAGTCATCAGCACAGTGAAGGATCTTCTCCCATCATCATCACTGATCTGGACTGATGAATTCTGGGATGTGTTAGTCCTCCCCACTGTGTAACAGCTCTGATCTTTATATCTGCACCACTGTTTGAGTTTATCCTGATATCTAGGACTGTAGAGACACTGAACACTGATATCACCACCTTCATGTCCAGATACACTGCTGCTCACCACAGACACATCTGGGTCTGAACACACACACACACACACACACACACACACACACACAAGTCATTTGATTTGATAAAACACATATTTGACATTAGAATTGATTAAAATAACTACAAAATCTTATACCAGATTGAACCTGGAGATAAAGACCATATGTGACAATTGTTTTTCCTTCAATCTTCATACCACAATAATAGTGTCCATCATGTTTTGTGCTCTGCAGGTTTCTTATAGTCACAGTAAAGAAACTCTGATCAGGATGATCAATTACTGACAGATTCTCCTCTGTTGTGTTTGTGTATGTATTGGACATATCAATTTCTGAATGCCAGTATTTCTTCTGATGTTTGTATTTCCTGTCATAATAACATGGGATGCTGACAGATCCTCCAGTCTTAACAGTTAATATATTATATGACCCACTGCTGTAGCATATAACACCTAAACACACAACACACACACCGTTGTCATGGTCAGAGTGAACAATAAATCGTCTTCACAAAAACACATTAAAAGCGACATGAACAACTAAGCATAAAAAGTATCATTACAAACTGACAAACAGGATTGATTAAAAACAGAGTCTAACATTTAATACTCACCTAAAAAAAGCCAAAACCCGATTGAAATGTAGAATATTTCTGTTTTATCGTATGTGACCATTGTGTAAGTTTCTCTTCCCGTGTCTGAGCTGTTTTAACTGTGTTTGTAGTAACTCCCGCACTTCCCTTTTTTCCTCTCATATAGCACTTAAACGTATTGCGCCGCCTGCTAAAAGCTGAGGATAGACTCTAGATCAGGGGTTCACAGATCACATGTGAACAAGCTAATCAAGGTCTTCGGGATTACTAGAAAGTTACAGGCAGGTGAGATTGGAGCTACAGTAAACTCTGCAGGAAAGTGGACCCCAAGGGCCAGAGTTGAGAAACCCTGCTCCAGATTTCAAGCAAAGTTAGTAACTGATGCACTTCCACACTTCTTTCAGTTACATCACACTTTTATTTATCTTATATTGATCTGGGTGGCAAGTGTATTACATCTGATCAATCAGAAATAAGCATATTTTGACACTTTATTAGCACATGCTCAGTAGAACTCTTTCTCTCTTTGCTTGAGAAGATGATGTATGATCATTTAACTTTTTTGAGAAACATGTATCAGTTATACAATAAGTTGATTTTGAGATATAAAAAAATATTTTTCACATATTCAACATTTTTCATCGGCTGTCAGAAGTTTTGATGTCCCTACCCCTTTAAGCGCCAATGCAAAAGTGCCCTTTTGGTCCGATCTAGGTGCATCTCCTAATTAGGACCATAAATAGATAAATTCTAAGTCTGCTCTTTAAAACAAAGAAAATAAGCGATGGTAGAAGAATAGTATATGCTAACAACAGGAAACTGTATATTCGTGCAGTGTGCATGTCAAAAGGTCAAATACGATTTGAAGCTTGTGACGTATAAACGTACACATCAACCCGATCACTTTGTTTAGCGTTTATATAAACACTACGTTCCGATTCATCAATCAGAATGATTTAATTCCAATTGAAACAAAAGGTGTCCATGTAAACATAGCCTATATGAAACTTATGGTCATATGAGCAATGCCATTAGTGATGATGTGAAAAATGAACCTTTTCAAAACTTTGAATCACTAACCCTTACCATACACTTACCAGCTATGTGGATTTCAGAAAGTGCGCAAAGCATAACGTGCACACTTACCCCTTATGTGGATGTGTAGAAAAGTGCACAAAGCTTAACGTGTACACTTACCATAGTATTTGGATTTTAGAGTTTTCCAAGCATCTGCTCACAGCCAAACGGGAGAGGCAAGCTCAAATACAACCCTCAAAGGTGAGGGGAGCACTGCCCGAGACAGCATTTACACAGGAAGGTTCTCGTAATGCCACCTACCCTAGAGGATGCAGTTCGAAGTTCCCATGAAAGGGAACAGGAAGTGCCCAAGATTGTCCCAGGTCTGAAAAACGCCAAACCTCAAAGCACAGAAGCTAAGCGTATCCCATCATGCATCACGTTCAGGAACTCATTTGCCCTGAAATCTTGAAATGTTGAGGAACAAAATCCACTGTTAAGTTATATTAATTAGATATTACACATAAGTGGGTAGTAAAACAAAACATGTTGCACATTTTATTTTGAGCAAGATGAGTGTGTATTTTGTACAACATTTGCAAATGCTTTTTACCACTTAATTAGAAGCACCACAATTACTAAATTGTGCCATCTTATTACATAGGGACTACTGAACAGGCATTAAGAAACTTATTTTAAATGGCAAAGTATTGAAAATCAAAATATCGCTCTGTACATTTGAATTTTTACAACACTGACTGTAATCTGGTTATTAAAAGTTTTGTACACATTTGAGGTTTGAACACTTGAGCCAAATACAGGAAGTACGTCATGTAAGTAGACAAGTGGTCAAGTGCAAAGACCGCAAGTGTGGGTGTTTGGATGGGCCCATGGAGAAACAATATGATGTAATGAATGCTCATTTACTGAAATCTTGTGACTTTGGGAGTCTGATAGGCGCTCTGAATCACTGGTTTGAAACAAATGATTCACAAAGGTTTCAAAGCTTCACCAAGCAGTGTTTGGAAAGCACCCATCAATAGTTGCCATATCACATGCTGTTGTTTTGGAAATGTATTGTAAACTGATGTTTTTCAAATAAATAACAGAACAAAATTTTAAATTACAAGTCGTAAAAAAATTTTACATAAAGATTGCTAGTCTGTTAAGGTCAAAAGTTATAATGAAGTCACACTACTGTTAGAGAGCATCTATCAGTTACAAAAGTGTCAAGCAACTACAAAATATAAGGCTTAGTATCAACACTTTTCTAATAATTTGATCCTCCTCTAGTTCTGTGATAGACAGACTCCCTGATGCGCGCAAACTAGGCTACATAACATATCTAGGCTGTTATTAGTATGTAGGCCGCTATAACAGGTTGTGTAGTTGTCTAGCTCTGCATCATGCTTGAAAAATTTGTCTCTATTTGCGCTTTGAATATAGAGAGAGAGAGCACTTATTGTTCACACTTAATACGACTAAGAAAGAACTGTTGTTTATTTATACTGTTTATACTTTATTATACTATTTATACTTTATTTCTATGTTCAATTTGTGAAAAGGAGTTCAGTTAGGAGGTCAAACGTTCTAGAAGCTCATAATTCATGTACAGTTCTAAGGTCTGAAGAGACTCACATGAAATCATACAGGAGAGAAGTCAGCCAGTTGAACAAAACCTTTTACAGTGCTTGAGTGTTGTTGTTTTTACTGCATATGATAATTCATACTCAGAAAGTAGAACTGAAATGACATTTATTACAAGATGATTAGTTCAATTAATTTTTCCAGTCATGTATTTGCTCATTGAGAATTTTTTTTAAAAATGTGTAAAAAATCTTGTGTCTCGTCTCGTGTCTTGGGTTAAGTGTCGGCATTAATGATAATCAAACAACAAAAGACTCTTGACAGAATGGCATTTGTAGCTTTTATAAGAATTTATATAGTGTAAATTGTTCCCTATACCATCACATTCACATCTATGCAACCAATAAATAAATTACTACCCGCAGAACCCCCTAGACTAGAGGAAACAATGCACAAAATCCTGTGGGGACACTGGGAATGTAGAGGAAACACTGTAGGATTGGCTGTCTCAGTGTGTGTATGCCAGTTCACCTTACTGTTTGTGTGTGTGCACCATGTATGGCACTACATACATTTCTCCAGTAAAGCATAATGATTAAAGGGGGAGGGGGCCCTCACACAAAGAGCAGCCTAGGGGCCCCTGACCACCTTAATCCGCGCCTGGCCACAACAATATTTTTCTTCATATATTTCGTAAAATATAACATACAAAACAATATATTATGTAACATTAAAAACATATCAAATTTAAATTTTGCTAAACAATCTCAGTAATGGGAATTTGTTCATACTAACGTGACCATGAGATAATCAGGATTCATCACTCGTCTCAGTCCAGGTTTGAAGCCTAATATATTTACAAATTAATATTAGCCTAGATTAAGGAATAAAAAAAACAAAAACAAACGCTGGTCATTGTAAGTTTATCATATATAATGCATTAATTAGCGGTGAATTTATAGTTGAGTTTTTAGTAAATCTCTGCTACTTAACTACATGACATTACACAACCCAGCTTAGTTTGGAAATCTAGGACCCAAACTGAAAGATGTGGGGTGTCTAGAATAGGAACAAATGACCATAAATTTTGACCATTCGTGCATTTGGACTGCTGCTAATCTTTACACAGAGACAGATGTATTTGAGATCAGGATTTATTAGAATAATTTTGTAATTGAATGAAAAGAGTTTTATGGAAAATACATACAATGTCTCAAATAAAACAGATAGATAGATAGATAGATAGATAGATAGATAGATAGATAGATAGATAGATAGATAGACAGACTGTAGTGAGGGGGGACTCTCTGTTCAGAAATATTGGCAAGCTATTATTTTGACAACTGCAATCCTCAATACCTTTGTCTTTTCCTTGCTCTTTTTGTCTTTTCCTTTTAACAGTGCCTAGCAGCTCTCTCTGTTCATGAGCATCTAAAATTAATCAATAACACAAATTAATCAATACATGCATTTGAAAATGCATTCAAATATTAATATTTATTAAGTTTAACACATATTTGTCAATGTTCAACATTCCTCATTTATCTGTAATAGAAATAAGATGCTAAAATTGTTATTTAAATAGTGATACTGTCATTAGGTGTAATGGATGACACTGTGGTGTAACAGAGAATTTGCATTACGCCAAATGACAAAAACATTACACTGAATGATGAAACTTCTACTTCAGCTTATAATACAGACAATCAACTGGCCACCTGTATCAAACACTGAGCACAATTATTCACAACATCTACTTATTTAAAAAAAAAATCTAACAATAAAAGTGTTTTTTGGCATTTCACTGAATGACATGTTTTTGACGTGTTTTTGTAACTTCGGATACCACACTATGAAAAGGGGGAATTATCAAATATTTAAGAGCAATAAACTTTCTGCAGCACCACGCGGTCTTCAGGGTGCCATCTGATGATGTCACAGACTGCTGAATGACTATCAGTTTTTTATATGATTTCAGAATGGCTTCTTGTTCCTGTTACACTGAATGACTTCTGACAAACCGCATTTTCTGGGACAAAATGCACCTGGTTATTTCATAACTTTAAAAAAAAAAAAAACAATAAGTCATCCTTTTAATATAACACAGCCAACAGTTACTTAAAAATGCCAAGACAACAAATGTAATTTTTTACTTGGTATTTTAAAGATCGTTCATCTGGAAAGCATCTGCTGTGTACAAACATCTAATAGACTTCTTTAAAGGGGTCCTATTATGCTCTTTTACAAAGTCTTGACTTTGTTTTGGGGGTGTACTAGAACATGCTCTCATGCTTGGTGGTTCTAAAAATGCATTATTTTTCACATAATTTACATTATTAAAATAAATTTCTCCCCAGCCTGGCACAAACGGCTCGATTAGTTCTGGGTTTTAATGAAGGCCCGCCTTTCGAAAAAAACGAAATGTGTTGTGATTGGTTAGCTGTCCCAGTGCGTTGTGATTGGCGAACAGCTTAGACG